AGCGGTTTGTAGGCTTTGCCAGGTTTGTGTAGCTAGGAGAGATTCATGGTGGCATTCGGCAAGAGTCGCTGAGCACCTTAGCGTGGAGAGCCATATGTGAGAAGTACAGGCTTCACTGTGCCAGGCTTGCAGCGGTGTGTTTAGGGCTAGAGGTAGAGGGGGAGAGTTGGATGTTTCATGGGGATAGCTCATCTCGGATTCCATCTGTGAATACAGCGTATCATGCTAAAAAGAGTAGAGAACTCAGTGTGCAAAAGAGAGGTACGTGACCAAATAAAAGAGGTGCGTAAGAAGACACAGCTGTTGGTATGGGGCTTGGATGAATGTTCTCCAAGGGTCCATTTCCAGTTAAGCCTGTCCTAGAGTAAACAGTAATTTTAGAGGAATGGCCTTTTAGACTTTGCGATTTCTGGGCTGTATCACCGGGATCGTTTGGATGGTTAATACTGAGTTCTATTTTTAGACCTTTAGAGTGAAAGCAGGAGCTCGTGCTTGGCACCAGTTAGGAATTTTCCACTCATTCCCCATGTAGGGAAGCACTGATCTCACACTGGGCCGTCAGAGGGGGCCGTGCTCATATTTCAGTCATCCCAACACGTCATCGCGCTGGACTGGCTTAGGTTGGGGAGCAAAGGGGAATCGTGGCATGAGACCCTTTCAAAGGGAGTCTTTGAGGCCGCCTTCCTCCTGTGTGTTCAACAGAACCTCACGGCCTTGCGAGATCACCTTTGGAATCTGTTGAGCCATGATGGATGGCAGAGTAACTTGAGGCAGGAGGAGAGAATGGAAGGTTCCTTGAAGTTCACTTCTTGCGTTAAGGAAGAGAGTTCCTGCAGTCCTGTTGTTGTTGACTCACTCCACTGCAGGGCAGCACTAGTCATTCTGGTTTAGCTTTCAGGAAACAAAGAGTAACTTAATTGATGCAGAAGATTCATAAATCAGAAGGGTTGGTATCATTTCAAAAAGAAGCACTTTAGAAGAAAGGACTGTCGCCAACCCACACAGGCTGGCCTTAGCGAGCAGAGCTGGGCTGAGCCAGCGTCTTCAGGAGGAACGGATTCCCAGGGGTTAGGGATAGCTGATGGGGAAAGCTGAGCAGCTACCCTCTCAGAAGGTACAGCCTCAGGCAGGCCATGCTGGAAATGTACTGGCGTGCGGCCAACAAATCCATACCATGCGCAAAGGCAGGTAGTTCCAACGGTGGGATGGGGTGTGAATGCAGCCAGGGAATTTTTTTTATTGAAAAAGTGGTGAGGAGCTGACACTGACCACCGATAAGTGCTCCTATCCAGTCTGAGAACTGGTGCAGTTTGGATCCTGAGGCTGTGTCTATAATAGACTCTGGCTTCACCGCTTCCCAGCCAGTCGTGCACAGGCGGCTTGCTTAGCCTGGAGCTTCAGTTTCATCCTCCACGCCGGGAAATAGAACCCAGCACCCACCTGACAGCCTCACCTGGAGGACTAAGTGAGGGAAAGGGCCTACCCAGCGCTGTGCCTCACGTTCACGAAGTGTTTGGAAATGTTCACACTAATATTAATGCTGTCATTAGCTAGACCTTACCAGAGTTTCGTTGTTTACCTTGACATTTAAGCCTTCAGGTTTGTTGCTAATGTTTAACAGCCAGTCTTTCCTCGGTAAGCCATCTGATGACTGTAGTTTGAAACTGCAGTTGGCTTTATAGGCTATGCTTGCAAAAGGTTGAGGTCGAGTTGGGTTATCTTCCTTCACTCTTTCCCCGTCACTGTCTCCCCAGATGGAGAGGGTGCAGGGTCTATGGTCTCACCCGTCCCCTTCCTATCTCCCCTTCTATCTCTCTTCTCTTCCCATCTGCTCCCTTTCTTTTCTTGGTCCTTTTCTTTTATTCTCTCACTTGTGTCTCCCCTAAAGCGAAGATGGGTGGGTCCAGCCTGGCTGTCAGTATTGGCGGTAGCTTTTCACAACAGTGATTCAGGTCTGAAGGTTGCCCATAATCTTTACCGGAATCAGCACGGTCTCCTCACTGGGCCTCCAGCCACTCCTTCCCCAAATGTCTCATTCTCCTGTGGCCGGAAAGTGTAGAGTGATTTCCTGTGATCTGGGAGATCCCTGGGCAGGACACTGTTCACATCTGCCCAGGGCTTCTTTCCGGGGTGGGGGTGGTGGGTGTTGGGAGCTGAGGGAACTGTTGGCTCATGTTAGAAATCAGAGTTGGTTTGTGGGGTTTTGTTAAGTTCTGGTTGTTCACTGCCTAACCTCATCTAAGTCTTTGCATCTGTCAGCACTCTGACTGTGAATACTTTAATAATGCTATTTTGAGACTGATAAGTACAGTAGAGTTAACCCTTGAAGAACCAGGGACTGGGGTGCTCAACTCCTGCACAGTAGAAAATCTGTGAATAACTTGTGACTCCCCAAAAACTTCACCGCAAATAACCCACTGTGGACCAGAAGCCTTACTAAGAACAGTTGATTAACACATTTTGTATATTGTATTATATGCTATGTTCTTATAATAAACTAGGGAAAATACATTATTATTTAAAAAATCACAAGGAAGAGAAGATACATTTACAGTACTATACTGTATTTATTGAAAACAATTCGAGGGGCGCCTGGGTGGCTCAGTCGGTTGAGCGTCCGACTCTTGATTTCAGCTCAGGTCATGATCCCAGGGTTATGGGAGGATGAAGCCTTACATCGGGCTCTGGTGCCGGGCATGGAACCTGCTTGAGGCTCGCTCTCTGTCTCTCTCTCTCCCACTCTTGCTCTCTGTCTCTCTCTCTCTAAAATAAATAAAATTTAAAACAATTTTTAAAAAAGAAAAAAAATTGGAGTGGGAGTGGACACACCCAGTTCAAACCAATGTTGGTCAAGGGTCAGCTTTACTTCACCTCTCTGGCTGTGCTTAGGGACTGAGGATTAAAAATTATTATTCTTATATATATATATATTTTTAAGTAATCTCTACACCCAACGTGGGGCTTGAACTTAACAACCTCGAGATCAAGAGTTTCATGGTCTACCAACTGAGCCAGCCAGGTGTTTCTTGATAGGAGAAACAAGTTAATTTTTTCACTAGTTTAAGATCCTTTCAGGGTGAATACAGAAAGCTAGCCACTCTGGAATTCCAGGTTTTCTTAATTTGTAGTAACACGTTGAAAGTCAGCCGGCCACATTATGCTGTGTTAGAGCAAGCAGGGAATCCCTGTGGTCTATCTGATTAGAACGCTTCCCCAGGTATCTAGACTTCGAACTGAGAACAGAATCAGGGCAGAGCCATGAAGGTATTTTCAAAAAGCAAAACAAAACAAAGAATAGAGCATAAGAATATGCCATATTCCTAAACACATTTAGATCGTTAATGTGGATAAGACCCTAGTATCTATAGGATATTAGTCATTTGCAAATAAAATGAAAGAAAAGACTTCTAAGAACACCTAACACTTATAAAGAGCTTGCCAAGTGCCAGGTTGCATATATTACTTCTAATTACTAATTACTTTGCATATATTAATTTCTTCAACCCTCTTTATAACCCTGTGCAGCGGGCTTGGCATAGAGGCAGCATCCCTTAGTGATTAGGAAACTATCTATTTTCGGGTGTGATTGCTAGACTTCAGATTTAGGGAAGGCAAGGATGCTGAGGGCTGGGATGGAAGGAGAGAGCTTTATGAATAAAATGGGGGCCCACCGTCCCTCAAAGGATGCGTTATTGCTACATTATTCTTAAAAGAACCAGGAGCTAATCCTTGTTGATGCCCGTGACTAAAATAGCTGTCAGTTTATCACACAAATAGAGTTTTATTTGGGTACTATGAAATTATGACATTGTGTAGCAAATGCCCTTTGGATGACCTGAGACCGTCCGTCCCATCAACCCAAAGTAGCACACGTGTTACCTACCACCCCGCCCCCATTTTTTCCTTTTTTTTAAATTGAGGTTTTTTTCTTCACGGCGAGTTTCATGACTTCTTTCATCCTTGAGGTAGGTTAACAGGTTCTTTGGAGGTGCTGTAATCAAAGTCAAAGGAGGTTAATCAAGAAAGAACATTCACAAGACCCTGATAATATTCATGCTAGAGATCTGGTACAATTTTTAGCTTCAACTCCCTTTTTGGAAATGTTTGCTTTGGGAGCACATTCTAACCGAATGAAGAGACTTTCTTTGAAGGCCTACATTTTTGGTATCTCCAATGCAAAGAGAATTGATATAGCACACCTTTTCTAGTTATTATTAGTAACAATAAAATCATAACAAATGTAGCTATTTCTGGTGACTCAACCCAGATTACAAAGTCAGCATATCTTCAGGTACCTCTCTGTTTCATGTCATAGAATATATATGATCTGAAAACAACTCAGGGGCCGTGTGGTTACAAATGGTGTCCTTTGCCCTTAATAGTACCTCACGTGGGACTTTTTGTCTTGTTCCTTCTAGTGATGCACACAGTGGAACAAAAAAACTTGGAAACCTTAAGTTTTGGTGTTGATCTCATTACAAAAAAAAAAAATGTTTCACGTTAAGCTTTCTGCTCATTACTTATTTGGTAGCCGACCACGTACATATGGACAGAAGGGCACGTGTAAGGAGACAGTTGGTAAAATTAGCATTCGCCCGTCAGAAGAAGGTGGTGTGGATGTTTTCACGCTCAAAAATCTCATACTAGTGATAATAATTAACGGTGTGTAATAATACATAACAGCTGATTACCATGCAGGGCATAGACGTGCAAAGAAGGGATTGTAGGTTGATGTATAAACGGTGCAGTGGAGTGAAAAGCGCGAGCGGGGTTATTATTATCAGATTGCGAGCTTTGTGATTTGAATGTGATACAAATGAATGAGTCGGACTTGGCTTTGTAATTTTTTTTTCTATGCTTATATAATGAGAAAATTATCTCCTTAAGGGCTAGACTCATAAATATTTGCTTAATATGATTCATTAATTAAACATGTCACAGGGGCTTATCTGGCGTAAAACTAGGGGACTCTCGGTATCCGTTTTGTTTTTTTTTTTCAGAACGAAAGTGCCCTTGTGAAAGAAAAAGAGCTGTCAATCGAACTTGCACACGTCAGGGATGAAGTTGGTAAGTAGGGCATGGAAAATGAGGAACGCCAAGAATGTCTTTTCCTGATACCTGTGAATGTACAACGAAAGCAGTTATGTCTCACGTGATCAGCCAGGGCAGAGCTGCCTGGAAAAATGAAGCATCTCACCCAGCACAGTGGTGCGTTGGTGTGGCCTTGCAGGGAGCCATAATTTTTACAGCTCTGTTGTCACAAAGACAGCTTCATAACAGTTCACTAATCTGGCCTCGACTCCGCTCTTCGCAGATGGCGGCACACACATCCGTCTGCGTTGTGAGCTGTGACCACAGCCCCTCCGTCTCGGTAGCCCCCGGGCAGGCAGAGCTCCCAAGGAAGCAGCACAGCTTTGCTGGGTAACATGAGGCGCTCTCTGCACTAGATCTCTGCAGACATTCCAAGGCTTCCTGCCACCACAGGCCTCGCCGTGAAACACTCTGTGATATAGAACAAGACCAGAAACACAAGCCTGGGTGGATTAACTATGCTGGGGTCTGTGTTGAAATTCCCACTCACCTTTGGCCAATAAAATGGTAGAGCTCAGTCTGAACATGGAGACCTGGCAAGTGATGGGATGATCCCCAGACCGGGGGGTGTCATGGAGACGGGTGGGCTTCCACACTCTAGGCCAAAGATCAGAGCACGTATTCTCCACGTTCCAATTTCTCCATCTCAGTTCTCTCTTGAGGTTCCGTTACTGTGTTTCCTCAGGAATCAGTCAGCAAAGGGAACGTCAGCCTGGCCTATTCCCCTCGGCCTGCTGTCTTCTCTTTACAATGAGTGTATCTCCTCCATCCATTGTGGTCCTGGGGGCAGCCTGCCAAGTGCCGGTGGGGCTCCCTCCATGAGTGGGGGGACTTGGACGGTCCCAGCCATCCTTGGCAGGTGGCACAGCACCTTTCCTTCCGGCCAGCCACGCAGAGAGGCTGTGGCTGGTCCTTCCGGCAAATAGCCGTGCAAATAGGCCTGGAAGCTGAAGACCAGACTTCCCTGGGGAACATGGGTGCCAAGGATGTGCAGTGAACTGCAGAGTGATTTCCAGACACGGTACCCCCATCACCCCTCTCTATTTTTTCCTTTTTGTTTAACTGAGTTGTTGGGTTTTTTTTCCTTCCCTGCGAGTTTTGTGACTTCTTTCATCACTGAGGTAGGTCAACAGTGGGCTTTTCTCCCCTCTAAGGCCCCTGGGGGAAAGCAGTAAATAACGGTCCCTCCTTCCCAGCCTCACCTGTGAGTGGTCCGGAGCAGCAAGGTGGCCCCGTGCCCCTGGCCATCCCCAGATGAGGAACCCAGTGCATGAACCCAGGTGTAGGTTTCCCGAGAGAGGTCTGCCAAGAGCAGCAATGGCAGAACTTACAGAGGAGCTCTTGGGAAGCCGAGGGCCACGAGTGTGTGTGAAATGGATGGGTTTTTAAGCTGGGTTTTTTTTTTTTTTTTTTTTTTTTTTTTGAGAGAGCACAAATGGGCATGCAGGCAGAGGGAGAGGGAGACAGAATCTTAAGCAGGCTCCGTGCTCAGTGCGGAGCCCAATGTGGGGCTTGATCTCATGTCCGTGAGATCATGACCTGACCTGAAATCAAGCGTCAGACGCTTAACCGACTGAGCCACCCAGGCATCCCAAATGGATGAGTTTTTAGATTGTTCTGAGAGTGAATGGTTCTGAGCATGGACTTTGCAGGCCAATGACACGGGTTCAGGTAGGGCCAGTTGGCTAACCTCTCTGTCCCTCAGGTGTCCTTTCATAAAAAGGAAAGTCCGTTAAAGAAGATAATGCTGATAACGCAGCCCTCGGAGGAGACTCTCCTAGTAAGGTGTGTAGCACCTTGAATCAGAAAATAGAGGACAGAATCTTCCATTGTAGCCTGAATTCCTCCCCGGAGGGATGTCTGCACCCCCGCGTTCAAGCTTTGGATCTGGGGTTTGCACCCTGACCCAACTAGATAGGGCATGCCGAATCCAACCCCGCTTCCCTCGGCCCTTTCCTGAAGCTTCTGAACGCAGCAGGAACCACGCAAGGATTGCGCTGAGTTTTTGTGTTTCGGTGTTATTTGAGGTCTGCATTAGTGCTAAGAATAGAACCAGAAGTCATCTGCCAAATGAATAAACCGCGGGGTGGGGGTGAGGGGAGAGGGCGGAAGGCCTTGGTAGCCCCAGGGCCGGGGCCATGACACCCAGCACTGAGCCCAGCGGATGTTTTAGCAGCGAGCACCTGAGCCACTGCAGAGCCTGCGTTTGGGAGAAGGCGGACACTACACTGTGGGGATCTACTATTAACTGTAAAGGCCACAAGTTCTGCCCGGTTTAGCGTGGCCGGCAAGGAACACCCTTAAAGGGAAAAGAGAATTAAGCTTATAAAGCTGACTTTTGAGTGATCGTCTAGAAAGAGAGATGGGCGAGAGATGGGCGATCCTATCTCCTTCCCAGCATCCCTACCCTCATTTAGACCCCTGTCAGCGGAGTCAGATGAGGGCTTCCGGAGCTGGGAGCTATGAGGGGCTGTGAGGGGCGTGGTGGGGGTGGGGGGAGCTAGAATTTCCACATGTGAATTCAGACATGGAAGAGGAAGACGCTGCAAAAATCAGAAGAGTTTAGCAGCATTTACTGTATATCCCCAGAATAGGGCTGGCCTGTTCCCCAAATCTAAAACCTACTGCTCAAACTTTTCATATGTGTTAAAATGCTGCCCTGGAATCTACCCGTATCTGCTGGTAGGCAGCCATCCGTTGTTTACATCCTTGCTGTGAAGGAATGCAATCAAAGGCTTCTAGCATCTAGCCAGAATCACCTTGACCGGGGGTTCTCAGCCCTGGTGCATATTAGAATCACCTGCAGTGCTTTTTAAACTAACGGTTCCCAGGACCTCTAAGGCAACAGAATCAAAATATTTGAGGTTGGGGCCTAGGCTTTTCTTCTTCTTCTTTATAAGTGTTTGTTCATTTTTGAGAGAAGAGAGCATGAGCGAGGGAGGGGCAGAGAGAGGGGGACAGAGGATCTGAAGCGGGCTCTGTGCTGACAACAGCCAGCCCGATGCGGGGCTTGAACTCACGAACCATGAGATCATGACCTGAGCTGAAGTCGGACACTCAACGGACTGGAGCCACTAGGCTTTTTTTAAACTTAATTCCCAGATGTTCATGAAGTACAGTGAAATTTGAGAACCAATGAACTACATTGAAGGAGTGAGGATTTCGATTTGGGTCAAGGACAGGGAGGGGGGCGGTAGGGAATTTGGGGTAGGTCTGGGAGGATGGGGTCCCCTAGTCGAGTGCTGTGGGTAGCCTGAGGGCCTCGGGAGAGAAGCCCAGGAGGGAGGGGAAAGGGTGCAGAAAGGAAAGATGCAGAGGACATATCCCACCTGCTCTGACATTCCCCATGGAGTTGGCCTGGCTCCCAGAAGAAGGGAAGGAATATCATCTTCCTTCCTTCACCTCGGCCTGTCAGGCTGTAGGGCTGTCAGTCTCTGAGTCCGCTCCCAGCTGGGTTAGACGGGCTTTCGGGAACCGATCACAGAAACTAATCCCCTGGTGTATTTGCTGACACACTTCATATTTACAATACGTTCCCAACTGGGACATGTCTGGTGAAGGAGCTATAGCAGAATCCTGTAGAAGGTGTATTACCCCCCAGTCAGAGATTTTGATGTGTGTTACCCACGCCGACGGAGGATTCTGATTATAATCATTTTTAAGTAGAACTTGCTGGCAGTTGATTTCAAGGTAAACTCTGAGACCATCTCCTACCGAGCACCTACTGATGCCTGTTGGCCCACCCACCGCACGTGCACTGGGTCAACAGATGCCATGACCGTTTTCCGGCATTAACCATTCTGCACATCTGTGGAAGGAAAACTATTTTTTCCCCCTCTCCACGTATCAAAAAAACAATTCACAATGGTCATTTAATAGTGATAAAACATTTAACCATGGCGGCACACTAGAATAAGCCACTCCTCTCCTTTGAGCACTTAGATTTGCCCCAGTTTTTTGCTATTATTTGCAGTATTATGCAAATTACTTTTTTCCTCTTGTGTCATTTTCTTGGAAGTCTAGTCTCAGAGTGTGGACAGATTTTGGATAGAAATGCACATTTGTTCTAAATTCATCTGTATGTGAAAGATCCTTGATTTTTACTCTATAAATCAAGATACAAGATGATGGTGGATTTAATCTCAGTGTAGATAAAGAAGAAATTCCATCACTACTCCTCTCTCCCTTCCTCCCTTCCCATCCCTTTCTCCCTCCCTCTCTCTCTGTCTCTCTCTCTCTCTCTCTCTCTCTCTCTCTCTCTCTCTCACACACACACACACACACACACACACACACGCACGCACCTGAGAAGAGACACGTAATACCCAATTATGTACCAGGGTGCAGTTTGGGATAGAGCATTTTGTGGTCCAGGAGTCGAGTCCTTGGGGAGTGGCTAAAATTGCCATCATCTGTGTTACACCATATGTGGATGTGGAGACAGGGATCTCTGGTCATCCTCTTGAAAGCTTCTCATGCTTGAGTCACCCTTCAGGGAGGATGACTCTTACCTTGTGTTTGGAGTTGGCCTTAATTGGGTCTGTCCTTGGAAAAGCCAAGCTACAATGATTGTGGGATGAAGGGCATTTTAGATCCCCAGGGGACCAGAAACCACCACATCCACGGGGAGGAGGAGTTAAGATGCTAGAAATAGATATAATATTTGATTTTTTAATCACATTTTTAAAAAATTTCCAGAAAATGTAGTTCTTAAAATATGAGCCTCAACTTTTGGATAGAGTGACATTCTCCAAATTTGGAAGTCAGGTATTGAATTATCGAAGGGTCCTGCTTATATTTGTAAATGCTGAAATGGGTTTATACGACGTTCCTCCTCCTAGACGCAGGTTATTTTCTTTCGAGACCTTAGGCTTCGAGTTGTTGACGACCATCAGGTGGATGTTTATGGTTCTCTGTCCAGCAAAGCTGCCTTATTAGGAACACTGAGCCTTAAAAATGTATGAATTTAAAAAATA